TGAATGATCTAATCAGGGGGAAAGACAGATGTGTCTCAGATATGGCTCAGGACTCTGCAGACTCAAGTCTCTGATTACACCTTCCAATATTTCAAAAAGTAACTTATGGCAGTGCCAGGGAAAGTGGAATCAGGGTAGGGACTGCAGAGCTGTTCAGCATCCCAAATTGATCTTCTCTTGTCAGAGGATAAGGCAGGTTCTTCTGAAGTCATCCAAACTTAATTACTCAAGATTTTCTCTGCTGATCTGTTACTCTGCATCCTATTACTGTTGATGCTCGAACACCTGACGAACAACGTTTGGTGTTCTAAACTTAAATTTCTGTAGACAATACCCAAGGTTCTCTGGAGAAGCGGTGCTGTGTAAATCCCTGCACTTAATGAAATTCATAGATGGACTGTGTCAGGGCAGTGGGATGAAGGCTCATTTCCCTGTAAAATGACTTCACTGTTACAATCACTCAATTTTAGAGCCATAAACCCCCCCTACATGGGAAAAGAGAGCTAACACATAAAACATAACCTGTGAAGCCACTGTTTATTTACCACAGAACATACAGAAATCTCTACCTAACTGCTCAAGTTTTCCCTATCAAACAGAGCCAGCCGTTAAGGTAACTTTATTGCTCAGTGTTCCTGTCTCCTACCCATCTTGTCATTCTCAACCAGCTGATACTCTGCTCACATGAACAAAGTTTACCTGGAAAGCATAGCTGTGTACGTGTCGCTGGCATGATCCTGCTCCCTGTTCTTCTTCACTGCAGGGAAGATCTCCTTCCTCACTTTGACAAGATCCTCCACAGTGTGGAAGGACAGTCTGATGTAATTTCGCTTCAAACCCACCAAGTGATTTGGCTATAATGCAAAGAGATTGTGCTCAGTGTTTACAGGGTAAACACACAAAGATAAACACACAAGCCAAAGAGTTGACGACTCCCAGGCACTTTGTCCAACTTTGCATGTTGGCACAAATTAATACCACTAGAGCTCTTTGAAAGGAGTTTTCTAGACGGTCCCCATACTGCCCCATCACCCAATAGATGACCTGAATCTCTACCTCTTCCAATCTCACCTGTCATGGACAATGTGGAACCTGGCCTCATTTACCCCTGGAAAGTCTGGGTGATACTCACCAAATCCAGATCCTCTTTCGGGACAGTCTCCACTTTTGCAATTTTGCCCTGAAACTTCTTGGAAAGAAAAGATGAAACTTCTCGCTCACAACCCTAAATCAGGATTAGAATAAAAACGCTTTATACTGGTAAAACACATTTCCTTCCTTGACTATTTCCCAGTTGCAAAGCCGACCACAGAATGACACACACAGGTCATCTGACCTGAATCTATAAAACACACTTACCTTTCTGGTTGCAATGTAGAAATACGGTTTATAGGGCAAGGCCACCTGTAAGAGTCAGCAACCCATCCAGGAATGACGAGAGGGGGAAAAAAAAAAGAGAGCAAAATGAAAACAGACTGCTTGCTCCTGGAGTCCATGAACAGTCTAGAGCCAGGGTAGCCTTGACCTTGGTAGCTCTTGTAGCGTAACGGAAGTTAGGACGTGCACGTACCACGGGGTAAGAACCTAAGACACAACACTGCCCACCGTTCAGACTCTTCCTAAACTGACCTCTCTCAGGACATCTGAAATGATGACTGACGGGGCCTCCGGGGGCCCGAGTTTTGGTGGGCTATGGGCGGCTGTGCACTAGAAGCCTCCCACCACCTCCCTGACAGTCACAGAGCTAAATGAACACCCTTCATTTTGGATTCAGCTGCTCGCTGCAAGTGGGTTTTAGATTTTTGGGCTTACCTTAAATCTGCTTCCATCATCTTGAATGAAGTAGTAATCCACTGCACTGACTAAGCGTTTATCTTCATCTAAAATCTCGGTCTACGAGAGAATTGGTCAACATGGGCACACGATCATCCTCTACACAGTGTAAGGACCCTTTTCCTCCCGCCTTTTGGGAAACCAGCCTTCAGAAACAAATCCCTCATCTAGGTCTTTATTCCACCCCTACATTAACACTACCGCCTTATTCACAAGAACCACATTGTAAGAGCCTCCAAATGGGGATTTCTTGGACTTGTCCCCTCATAATCCTTCAAAGCTTTATTATGATGGCTAAAAGTGAGGGCCATCACCTCTGGCTTCTCACAGACTTCTTTGTGGCCCTCCATGACGTTAAAGAGGAAAGGAGGAGAGCTGGGAGCCATCACATCTCCCTACCAACTCACCAGACAAGTCCCCCCACGCGTCCCGTCCAGACAAGGACCATGCTATGACAAGAAGGGATACAGTCCCACTCCTGGGAGGGAGAAGGACCAAGGGAAAGTGCCAGTGCTTACAGGATGCATGTTAATGAGCCAGCCTGTCTTCTCACCAGGCTCCTTCAGCCGCTCAAAACCAAACCGCAAATCCATCTTATCCGTCCACTGACTCCGTTCCAGGCGCTTGAGTGCGGAGACCGAGGGAGCGGAGCCATCATCCCTGAGTGAAGGAAAGCAACCCAGTGGTTACAGTTTGAAATGCCACCTACTTCTCTCTCTCTTTTTTTTTTTTTTTGGAGACAGTCTCGCTCTGTCACCCAGGCTGGAGTGCAGGGGCACGGTCTTGGCTCGCTGCAGCCTCCGCCTCCCGGGTTCAAGTGCTTCTCCTGCCTCGGCCTCCCACGTAGCTGGGATTACAGGTGCCCGCCACCATACCTGACTAATTTTTGTATTTTTTAGTGGAGATGGGGTTTTGCCATGTTGGCCAGGCTGGTCTTGAACTCCTGACCTCAGGTGATCCGCCCACATTGGAATCCCAAAGTGCTAGGATTACAGGGGTAAGCTGCCATGCCTGGCCAATCCCACGTACTTCTGCAACACTGAACCCACCTAGTGTGTTTCAGATACGTATTCCTGAAAAACCCCGAGTTTGGCAAAAAGGTGTGTTAAAAAGAAAGGACTCATGGAAAAAATACGATTAGGGCAGGCCCTTCAAAACCCATTCAACTTTATAGCCAGAATACTAACATAAACAGTGATCATGATTATACATATTCATAGATTATTAATGTACGTTGGATTCAGTGGGCTAGAAAACTCCTCAGTGGGACCATATTTCCTCCCAAAACTGTTTTGTCTGACCTGTGTACCTGACTTTTAAACCAGCAACAGTAAAACATCGGAAAAATGGGGATACCAGACATACAGACGGCGGTTTACTGGTTACTACATCCATTGTCTTAGTACTCCACGTACACTCTAATTCAGTTTTCACGACAACCCCTATTTGGGAGGCCCCTGGTGCCCCCATTTCACAGAAGAAAGGCACATCTACTACCCACTGCCTCCTGGGGCACACTCACCTCCTGGGGCTGTTTTAAAGACTGATGAGTTAACCCACGAAAAGCATGCAAGTGAAAAGCCAGCCCTCGCACTTCTCCCCAGCCTGGAGGCAGGGCGGCGGAGTGGAGGTGGGGGCGGGTCCTGCATCCTGAACCGGGGCAGTCCGTGCGCGTCCCGAGCTCCACTTCCAGCGCACTCTGCAGATACCAAGGGCACCTACCTCTCCGGGCCTTGCCTGAGGACCCGACGGGGCTGAGGACAGACAGCGATTAGCACAACAGCGGTGAGGGACCCTCACCACGTGGCTTCTCCTCCACGAGGAATTTGTTCAGCCAAGTGTCCACAAAAACCTTCGCATTCTTACACGTTTTCTGCTGACGGCAGAAGGCCGGGCCACCGAGCAGCCGCCTCTAACCCTTTCCCTATTTTTTTTTAGACGGCGTGTGGCTCCCTCGCTCAGGCCGGAGGGCTGTGGTGCGATCCCGGCTCACAGCGGCCTCGGCCTGCGGGGCTCAGGTGAACCTCCGGCCTCAGCCTCCCAAGAATTAATAACTAGGACTTCGAGCGTAGGCCACCAGCCTCGCTAATTTTTCTTCTTTTTAGAAGAGAAGGGCCGGGCGTGGTGGCTGACACCCGTAATCCCAGCACTTCGGGAAGCCGAGGCGGACCACCTGAGGTCAGGAGTTCGAGACCAGCCTGGCCAACGTGGTGAAACCCCGTTTCCACTGAAACTCCAGAATTTAGCCGGCGTGACGGCGCGCGCCTGTCATCCCAGCTACGCGGGAGGCCGAGTGAGGCCGAGAATCGCTTGAACCCGGGAGCGGCGGCTCCGCACTCCAGCCTGGCCGGCAGTGCGGGACTCCATCTCCAAAAAAGCACAATCGTAAACCGGAGGGAAAGGGTCTCGCTGGAACCGGATCCCAGGCTCAAGGCATCCGCCCGCCGCGCCCGCCCCGAGCGCTGCGCCTCCGGCGGGGTCCCCGGCCCGCCCCCAACCGCGCATCCGGCCGCAGGGCCCGGACCCCCCACAGCCCGCACCGCCCCCGCCGCGCGGCGGGTCCCAAACGCAGCTGCGCGCCCGGCGAGGCCCGGAGAGCCGAGCACGGGAAGACCGCGCGGCCCGCCCCGTTCCCCCGCGGAGCCTCCGCCCGCCCCGGGTCCCTCCGCCCGCGGCCCCGGCGCGCAGCCCCAGCCCGGCCAGGCGCGGCGAGTGGGGGCGGCTGCGGGACCCCGGCCTCCCTCTCGCCTCGGCAGCGCCGCCCGCGCCCGGCTCCGCCGCACCCTCGGAAGGGCCGGCCCGGGGGCCTCAGGAGGGCGCCCCTCACCTGCCGGCCTCCCCGTCCGCGCCCGGGTCCGCGCGCCGCCGCCCGCCGCCCCTGAGAGCCATGGAGCCGCCGGCGACACCCAGCGCTTCGCGGGAGAAATTTGGCGCGCTCCCACCAGTCTCGCGAGAGCCGAAGGCTCCGCCGTCAATCAAGAGGCGCGTCCCGCCCCTCGCCCGCCCCCTGCAGCGCGCCAATAGGAGCCGGCGCCCGGCGGGGGCGGTGGCCGGCAGGGACCGGGGAAAAGTGTGCGGATGCGTGCGGGGCGCACCGTGGGGTCGGGACCGGGCGGCGCTGCGGGCCGTGGTGGGGCCGGAAATGTCAGGCCGTCCCCGCCCCGCGCCCCGCGCCTCGGGCTCCGCGCCCGGCCGGCCCGAGGTGGAGTCGGCGCCCCCGGCGGCGCGGGGCTGGGGAGGCGATGGCGCCGGCGGCGTCCAGGCTGCGGGCCCAGGCCGGGTTTGGGGCGCTCCCGCGGCGGGCGCTCGCCCGGTACCTGCTCCTCCTGCGCCTCTACCCGGTGCTCACCAAGGCGGCCACCAGGTGAGCGGGGCGCGGCCTGCGCGGGAATCCGACGCTTCCCGGGCGCAGGTGGCTGCAGCGGCGCGGGGCTGGGACCGGGACGGGGGCGGAGGCGCGGGGCCGGGACCGGGGCAGGGGCGCGGGGCCGGGACGGGGGTCGGGGGCGGGGGGCCGGGGCGGGGGCGCGGGGCGGGCCGGGGGCGCGGGGCCGCGGGGGCGGGGCCGGGGGCGCGGGGCGGGGCCGGGGGCGCGGGGCCGGGCCGGGGGCGCGGGGCCGGGGGCCGGGACGGGGACGCGGGGCCGGGGCGGGGGCGGGGGCGCGCCGGGGTCTGAACCCGCCGCAGCGGGCGCCCTCCGACCCGACTCGACTTCCCGCGGCATCGTCCGGGTCCCCAGTCAGCGACTGAGAGGCGCCTCGCGGAAGGGCCCGCCGGGACCCCGGGCTCGGCGCTCAGTTGACCCGAGGACCCGGCAGGGGCCCCGCGTGCCCAGGGATGACACGGCCGGGGGCGCGGGTGTGCGGGGCGCGGCCGGGGAAGGCGTGTTTTGAGAGGTGACGGTGAACAGGCTGTGTGAAGAAGCCGAGCAGAGCCTCTCCTGGCACAGGGAGCAGCTGGGCAAAGGTTCTGTTCGGTTTTGAAGGGAAGGCGGGGAAAGACCCGAGTGGTCCCGACGGAGGAAGACGTGAACCTGAGCAAGGGGCAGGAGGTGACAAGGGAATCGCCGGGGGTCCACGTGTCTAGGTCTGTGCCAGGAATTTTGGATTTTAACGTCCAGAGAGCTTCTCAGAAGGCAAATACAAACCAAGCCCTGGAGGGAGCCACTGGTCCTGTTCCACCTTTTTGTGGACATTTTTATTGTGGTAATTGTAGATTCACAAGCAGTTACAAGACTAGTTTGGAGAGATCCCTTGTACACCTTCCCAGGCTCCCCCATGAGTCACGTTTTGTGAAACTAGTGCAGTATCACAGCCAGGGCGTTGGCGCGGACATTGTCCACAGATCGAATGCAGATTTCTCCGTTCTTCTCGGAGTTGTATCTGTTCGGTGCAGTTTTATCACATCTGTAGGTTCATGTGTTGACTACCAGAGTCATAATACAGAACAGTGTCACGATAGAGCTGTCCTGTTGCCCTTTCATAACCACACAGCTTCTGTACTCCCAGACTGCAAAGTTGTAGTACAGCCTAACAGCCAGGGTGTTGACGCTGATGTACTCCACCAACCGCTCGTCCTTCCGTGTGTGTGTGTAAGTCCACCGTCTCCATCTTTTGATACAAGACTATACTTGGCAGCCGCGTTAACAAGGATTCCTGCCTACCCATCTGCTGCATGGCCTCAGAGCGGCCCTGCTCATTCACCTGTGGGAAAGGGACACCTTCCTGCTGGTCACTCCTGTTTTCTGATGACCTCTCTTTTCACAGTGGCATTTTGTCCGCACTTGGGAACTTTCTGGCCCAGATGATTGAGAAGAAGCGGAAAAAAGAAAACTCTCGAAGTCTAGATGTCAGTGGGCCTCTGAGATATGCTGTTTATGGGTGAGTGCTGCACAAGGGTCGGTGTGTCCTGTAGCCACTGAGTGCAGCTAAGCTGGGCACCCAGACCAAGTGGTTGGACTACTCTGATTTGGGAATACAACTTTGTTTTAAACACTGCAGTAATTATCATGGGGAAAAATTAAAATGGTTCTTATATTTTGTATATATACACATGTGGTTTTCTTCTTGTTCTGGAGACAGAGTCTCACTGTATCACTCAGGCTCACGGCAACCTCTGCCTCTCAGGTTCAAGTGATTCTCCTGCCTCAGCCTCTTGAATAGCTGGGATTACGGGCATGTGCCACCAGACCCAGCTAATTTTTGTATTTTTAGTAGAAATGGGGTTATACCATGTTGGCCAGACTGGTCTCGAACTCCTGACCTCAAGTGATCCACCTGCCTCAGCCTCCCATATGTGGTTTTATCATGTTTCTTTTTAATTCCATGGATGGGGGTGGTTGTCTTAATTGGGCTGAGAGGCAGACCTGAGGGTAAGTCATCCAAACCTAAAGTCAGACTTCAGGATTCAAAAACCCTGGAAGCATCTTAGACTGGGCTCATGGAAGAGGAAAAACTGACTCAATATGACCAGTTAGTTTCTGTTATTTTCATAGTATAAATATCCGGAAAAGAAATGCTCAGATATCCTGAAAAATGTCCAGTTTCTGAATTGCAAAAGCAGTGATTCAAGAGATTTACCTTAATCCACCCTGAGATCTTGGCCAACAATAGTGTCATAGATGGATGATTTGAAGTATTTTGCAACTAGAGTGATTTTTTTTTTTTCTTGAGACAGAATCTCTGTTGCCCAGGTTGGAGTGCAGTGGTGTGATCTCGGCTCACTGCAACCTCTGCCTTCTCAGCCTCAGCCTCCCTAGTAGCTGGGACTATAGGCACACACCACCACATGTGGCTAATTGTTGTATTTTTAGTAGATTCGGGTTTTCACCATGTTGGCCAGGCTGGTCTTGAACTCCAGACCTCGTGATCCACTTGCCTTGGCCTCCTAAAATGCTAGGATTACAGATGTGAGCCACCACACCTGGCCTGATTTTTTTTTTTTATTCAGACTTCATAAGGATCATTTTTATGCTTGCAAGCTTGATAACTTGAATCATCATGGATTTTTCTTAATGTGTTTAGAGCAGTAATCCCCCCAAGAGGGGCAGGTAACAAGACTACCTAGCAGGCCTCATCTAAGCACAGTTTTCCTTTCCCCACTGAGAATCCACACAGCACCCTGTGACTAGGTGGGAGAAACACACAGAACCACTTGTTTAAAGACTGTCGATGTCACAAGTTGAAAGATCCGTCTTTGTTGCTGAATTTTTTGGAACTACAGTCCCAGCAGATGTAGCAGCTGGGTTCCATTCTCTCCCAAGCACATGGGAATCACCAGGAGCAATGCAGGCAAGCCGAAGTGTAGCCCCAGCTCCTACCCTTGCCAGTTAGTCTAGAGAGTTTGACGACAAGCTCTACAAACAGGGACATGTCTGATGGTTCATTTTGGAGGACCTTCTGAAAGCCAGGCCCTGTTCTGGGCATTGCAGTGGACTTCTCGGGGTGAAGAGAGGCACAGACTGACCTAACAGATGAGATTAGGACAGTGCTGGGCAGAAGGTGAGTCAGGGCCTGGAGTAAAGACTTCTAGCACAGGTGTGCACACGTACTGGGATGACCTGGAAGCTGACAGCGTGAGGAGGGGTGAGCCACCAGGCAAGGCGGGAAAGCGATGGGAGCAGAGGGCCCATGTTGGGAGCAGCTCTGGGCCGTTAGGGCAGCAGAGTGCCCCTGAAGCTGACTTGTCTATACAGACCTGTGTGGCCAGGACTGAGGGACGTCAGGGAGGCAGGATGTAGGACCTGGGATTTGTGGGTGAAGCTGGACCAGAGAAGGGCACATCCAGAGAACCACAGCTTGGTTCACACCCCGTGGGGCTCCTGGTTCACACCCTGTGGATCCCCTGGTTCACACCCTGTGCACTCAGGTTCACACCCCATGAGGCCCCTGGTTCACACCCCGTGGGGCCCCTGGTTCACATCCCGTGGGGCTCAGGTTCACACCCCGTGGGGCCCCTGGTTCACACCCCGTGGGGCTCAGGTTCACACCCCGTGGGCCCCTGGTTCACACCCCGTGGGGCCCCTGGTTCACACCCCGTGGGGCTCAGGTTCACACCCCGTGGAGCCTCTGGTTCACACCCTGTGGGGCCTCAGGTTCTTCTTCACAGGGCCACTGAGTCACTTCTTCTACCTCTTCATGGAACACTGGATCCCTCCCGAGGTCCCCCTGGCGGGGCTCAAGAGGCTCCTCCTGGACCGCCTCGTCTTCGCACCGGCCTTCCTCACGTTGTTCTTCCTCATCATGAACTTTCTGGAGGTGGGTGTCTGCCGCGGCACTTCCTGCATCTCTTCCTTTAGCACAGGGATTCTTCACCTGACGTTCCTGGGCAGAATTCAGAGGCTCTGCAGACTCTTCACTACACTCACATGGAAGTTTTGTGTTTTCCTTTATGAATATAGGAAGTGAACGTCTAGTATTGGCAGGACCTGTTTGTACCCAGCAGAGTCTCTTTCTTTCTTTATTTAAAGACAAGGCATCAGTCCGTCACCCAGGCTGCAGTGTCATGGCACAATCATAACTCATTGCAGACTCAAACTCCTGGGTTCAAGTGATCCTATTGCCTCAGCCTCCCAAGTAGCTGGGACTACACGTGTGTGCCACCACACCCAGCTAAATCACATGTCAGTTGTTACAGATACCCCAAAACGTCACTTATGCTCTTTACTACTTGGACCTGCCATTAGAGGTCTTGTCACCACGTAAAGAAAGAAACGGGCTGGGCGCGGTGGCTCACACCTGTAATCCCAGCACTTTGGGAGGCCAAGGCCGATGGATAGCTTGAGGCCAGGAGTTCGAGACCAGCCTGGGCAACATGGCGAAAACCCACCTCTCCAGAAATAAAAAATGAGCCAGTGTGATGGTGCGCACCTGTAGCCCTGGCTATTCAGGAATTGAGGTGAGAGGGTCTTGAGCCCAGGAGGTAGAGGCTACACAGTGAGCTGAGATCGCACCACTGCACTCCAGCCTGGGCAACAGAGCAAGATCCTGGTTCAAAAAACAAAATTAAAAAATGGAAATAAACACATTAGTCTGTCAAAATTTTTTCTGAATACTTTGATAACTGTATGTCAGTATTACTGGTTCCTTTGTAGTCCTATGTATTTTATTTTATGTCTTATAAGACATGATTTTGAGAAGGGGGGGCCACAGGCTTCACTAAACTGTCAAGGAGATGTGTGGCACGAGAAGTTGTAGACCCGTAAGGATAACACAGAAGCCTGTGCGAGTTCTGGGCCTGGAGGTTAACCTACTGGCATAGTCCCGGTCAGAATCCACCACGCGGGAGGCGTGTTCGCCTGTACTCAGCAGGCATGTCTGTTCTGACTGTCCTGCCTTCCCCATGCATGGGCGCCTTCAAATCCTCACTGTCTCTAGGAGCACCAGCTGGGTTGTGCTGTGTGTCTGAAACGTGTCACCTTCTGTCCTGAAAGTAATTTGTTTTAACTGATCACTCCTCCGTACAGAAGTTCTCAAGGTTCATATATTCAAATATGGCATGCCTTTCCTTACAGGAAGATATAGAAATATTCTCCTATAGTTTTCTCCAGTATCCTTATGGTTTTATTTGTGTTTACAATAGGAGATAGACTTCTGCCTTGATTTTTCCACTTGCATACAGATTTTCTCATTACCATTTATGGGACAATCCCCAGTATTTTGAAATATTCTTGTTTCTATCTATACAGGACATTTTCTGCACTCTTTCTTCTTTTGCTGGTTTTTTGTTTGTTTTTTTTTTTTTTTTTTTTTGAGATGGAGTGCAGTGGCACAATCTCAGCTCACTGCAACCGTCTGCCTCTTGGGCTCAAGTGATTTTTTTTTTTTTTTTTTTTTTTTTTGAGATGGAGTTTCGCTCTTGTTGGCCAGGCTAGAGTGCAATGGTGCCATCTCGGCTCACCACACCTCTGCCTCCTGAGTTCAGTCAGTTCTCCTGCCTCAGGAGATAACAGGCATACACCATCACACCCGGCTAATTTTGTCTTTTTAGTAGAGATGAGGTTTCTCCATGTCAGGCATCCCCAAACTTTTTACACAGGGGGCCAGTTCACTGTCCCTCAGACCGTTGGAGGGCCGCCACATACTGTGCTCCTCTCACTGACCACCAATGAAAGAGGTGCCCCCTCCTGAAGTGCGGCAGGGGGCCGGATAAATGGCCTCGGGGCCACATGTGGCCTGTGGGCCATAGTTTGGGGACACCTGCTCCATGTTGATCAGGCTGGTCTCAAACTCCCAGCCTCAGGTGATCCGCCCGCCTCAGCCTCCCAAAGTGTTGGGGTTACAGGCATGAGCGACCATGCCTGGCCCTCAAGTGATTTTTGTGCCTCAGCCTCCTGAGTAGCTGGGACTATAGACACCTGCCACCACACCCAGCTAATTGTTTTTATTGTTAATAGAGATGGGGTTCCTCTGTGTTGGCCAGACTGGTCTTGAACTCCTGGCCTCCAGTAACATGCCTACTTTGGCATTACAGGCGTGAGGATTACAGGCGTGAGCTGCCACACCCAGCTCTCCCGTTACTTTAAACAAGAAAAAAGTTAAGCATTTCTTTTTTTTTTTTTTTTTTTTTTGAGACGGAGTTTCGCTCTTGTTACCCAGGCTGGAGTGCAATGGCGCGATCTCGGCTCACCGCAACCTCCGCCTCCTGGGTTCAAGCAATTCTCCTGTCTCAGCCTCCTGAGTAGCTGGGATTACAGGCACGCACCACCATGCCCAGCTAATTTTTTGTATTTTTAGTAGAGACGGGGTTTCACCTTGTTGACCAGGATGGTCTCGATCTCTCGACCTCGTGATCCACCCGCCTCGGCCTCCCAAAGTGCTGGGATTACAGGCTTGAGCCACCGCGCCCGGCTAAGCATTTCTTTAAAAAAATTTTTTTTTTCTTTTGAGACAGAGCTTCACTCTTGTTACCCAGGCTGGAGTGCAATGGCGCGATCTCCGCTCACCGCAACCTCCACCTCTTGGGTTCAGGCAATTCTCCTGCCTCAGCCTCCTGAGTAGCTGGGATTACAGGCACACACCACCACGCTCAGCTAATTTTTTTGTATATTTAGTAGAGACAGAGTTTCACCATGTTGACCAGGATGGTCTCGATCTTTTGACCTCGTGATCCACCCGCCTTGGCCTCCCAGAGTGCTGGGATTACAGGCTTGAGCCACCGCACCCGGCCTTTAAAATTTTTTTAGTTTGTATATATTTAGAGAGTATGAGTGCAGATTTCTTTTTTTCTTTTTTTTTTTTCTTGAGCCAGAATCTCATTCTGACATCAGGCTGGAGTGCAGTGGCGCAATCTCAGCTCACTGCAGTTTCCACCTCCCGGGCTCAAGTGATTCTCGTGCCTCAGTCTTCTGAGTAGCTGGGATTACAGGGGCATGCAACCACACCTGGCTAATTTTTTGTATCTTTAGTAGAGACGGGGTTTCACCATGTTGGCCAGGCGGGTCTTGAACTCCTGACCTAGTGATCCACCGCCTCAGCAGAATGCTAGAATCACAGATGTGAGCCACCACGCCTGACCGTGAGTGCAGATTTCCCACGTGATCGCGTTGTGGTGAAGTCTGAGCTTTTTGTTCCCATCACCTAAGTAGTACCCAATGGGGATTTCAACCGTCCTTCCCCCACCACCACCTTGTGGAGTCTCTGGTGTCTGTTATTTTCCTCGTTGGTCCATGTGTATCCTCTGTTTAACCCCCACGTGACAGTGAGAACGTCAGCTGAGGCAAGGTCACTTGATCCCAGGATGTTGAGATGTTGAGACCAGCCTGGGCAACATGGTGAGACCCCATCCCTACAAATAAATTAAAAATCAAAGGGTCGCAGTGGTACATGCCTATAGTCCCAGCTTCTCAGGAAGCCAAGACTGAGGCCTGATCCCAGGAGGCTGAGGCTGAGTGAGCTGAGATCATGCCACTGCATTCCAGCCTGGGTAACTGAGATGGCGAGACCCTGTCTGGAAAAAAACAAAGTGAGAACGTGCAGTATTTGACTTTCCGTTTGTGAGCTGTTTCACTTGGGATAATGGCCTCCGGTTCAATCTATGGGTTTTTTTGTTTTGGTTTGGTTTTGTTTCTTTTTTTCTTTTTTTTTTTTTTTTAGGCAGAGTTTCGCTCTTGTTACCCAGACTGGAGTGCAATGGCGCGATCTCGGCTCACCGCAACCTCCGCCTCCTGGGTTCAGGCAATTCTCCTGCCTCAGCCTCCTGAGTAGCTGGGATTACAGGCACGCGCCACCATGCCCAGCTAATTTTTTGTATTTTTAGTAGAGACGGGGTTTCACCATGTTGACCAGGATGGTCTCGATCTCTCGACCTCACGATCCACCCGCCTCAGCCTCCCAAAGTGCTGGGATTACAGGCTTGAGCCACCGCGCCCGGCTTCTTTTTTTCTTTGAGACAGAGTCTTACTCTTTCACCCAGGCTGGAGTGCAGCAGCATGATCTCAGCTTACTGCAACCTCTACCCGCCAGGTTCAACGATTCTCCTGCCTCAGCTTCCCAGGTAGCTGAGACTACAGATACGCGCTACCACGCCTAGCTGATTTTTGTATTTTTTAGTAGAGATGGGGTTTCAACATGTTGGCCAGGCTGGTCTTGAACTGCTGACCTCATGATCCACCCTCCTCGGCCTGCCAAAGTGCTGAGATTACAGGTGTGAGCCGCTGCGCCCAGCCACTTGACTTTTTAATAATGGCCATTCTGACTAGTGTGAAGTGGTATATTCTGAGGTTTTAATCTGCATCTCTGATGATAGTGATGTTGAACATTTTTCATATGTTTCTTGGCCACTCATTTTTCTTCTTTTGAAAAATGTTCGGGCCGGGCGCAGTGGCCCACACCTGCAATCCAGCACTTTCAGAGGCCAAGACAAGCAGATCATGAGGTCAGGAGTTCAAGACCAGCCTAGCCAACATGATGAAACCCTGTCTCTTCTAAAGATACAAAAAATTAGCTGGGCGTGGTGGCACACCCCTGTAGTCCCAGCTACCCGGGAGGCTGAGGCAGGAGAATCACTTGAACCTGGGAGGCAGTGGTTGCAGTGAGCAGAGATTGTGCCACAGCACTCCAGCCTGGGTGACGGGAAAAGACTGTCTCAAAAAAAAAAAATGTTCATGTTGTTTGCTCACTTTTTAAATGTGGTTTATTCATTTCTTTCTTGCTGAGTTGTTTTGAGTTCCCTGTCGATTCTGGATAACAGCCCTTTGTAGGATGCGTAATTTGCATGTGTTTTTTCCCATGCTGTAGATTGCTGATTGTTTCTTTTGCTGTGCAGAAGCTTCTTTGTTTAATGAGTCCCATTTGTCTATTTTTGGTTTCGCTGCATTTGCTTTTGAGGACTTGGTCACAAATTCTTTTCCTTGGCTGACGTCTAGAGGAGTTGAGTTGCTCCTAGGATCTTTATGGTTTCGGGTCTTGGGTTCAGGTCTTTAATGCACCAGCTCACATTTAGAATCAACTTACTGGGGTCCCTTTTTTTTTTTTTTTTTTATAACTCCTAACAAGTTTTGATCAGAAAGACATCAACTTTGGCAGTTATTTGGGAAGAACTGACAGCGTAGCTCTGAGTAGCGGTTCTGGTGCCCAGGGCCAGTCTTGGGAATCACCCCCTCTGGTCATCCTCAGGGAATAATGGGCTGGTTCGTCACTGCCAGCGTGAGCAGGCTGCTGCCTGGCGTCTCACGGGTTATTTTCCATCTCGCTGTTGGCTCCTGAGAGCTGCAACGCTGAGTACACCCGTGTGCTGTCTGCATGTGAACAGAACAAAGTCAAATCGCAGTTTAAATACCGTCGCATTAGGGTTTCCGTGCCTGGAATTCAGTTCCGACGGGCAGTGAGATTGTTCACCACCTAGCTTTCCTCCTTTGCAGGGGAAAGACGCCTCAGCCTTCACCACCAGGATGAGGGGGGGCTTCTGGCCAGCCCTGAACATGAACTGGAGGGTGTGGACGCCAGTACAGTTCATCAACGTCAACTACGTCCCTCTGCAGGTGAGGGCCACAGGGCTCAGCCCCCACCAAACACTACTTTCTGTCAGCCCTCCCTCCCTCCCTTCCCCTTCCCTCTTTCCTTTTTCTTTCTCTCCCTCCCTCCCTTTCTCTTTCTCTCTTTCTTTCTTTTCTTCTGTAGTTTTCCTCCAGACTTGGTTTCACCTGTGTCCGTACTCCTCAAATGCCCTGGGCTTTGCCCATGACCCTGAAACGTTGATAGTTCTGGATTCAGGAAGCAACACACAAGGGTGTCCCAAGTGGTCGTCTTGGCCTCCTCCGTTCATTCAGCAAATCCTCATTAAAGGCCTCCATGCCACGGCTGCCCTTGGGTTTTCTAGCCTTTGAAACGTTCCCAGTCCCAGGAGTGCACAGTCAGGCAACGTGAATCTATGCTCCTGGGTTGCAGTCCTCAAACTTGGCCCAAATAACTCTAGCTTTACTTAGGGGCAGAATAAAAGGACCACGTGTAGTGGTTCACACCTGTAATCCCAACACTATCAGAGGCCAAGGCGGGCAGATCGCGAGGTCAAGAGATCGAGCCCATCCTGGCTAACACAGGGAAACCCATCTCTACTAAAAATACAGAGAGTTAGCTGGGTGCGGTGGTGGGGGCCTGTCATTCCAGCTACTTGGGGGACCGAGGCAGGAGAATCACTTGAACCCGGGAGGTGGAGGTTGTAGTGAGCCGAGATTGAGCCACTGCACTCCAGCCTGGGCAACAGAGCAAGACTGTCTCAGAAAAAAAAATACAAAAATTAGCTGGGGGGTGTGTACACCTGTAGTCGCAGCTACTCAGGTGGCTGAGGCACAAGAATCACTTGAACGCAGGAGGTGGAGGTTGCAGTGAGCTGAGATTGCACCACTGCCCTCCAGCCTGGGCAACAGAGTAAGAACCTGTCTCAAAAAAGTAAGATGTTAAAAAGAAGCAAAACATTCCTGGTCCTTGGGCTCATGAATTATAGCTGAGGCTGAAGGCAGGCGCTGTGTAGTCATGGGTCCTACCACTGACCTGAAAGGGCTGCCCACAGCAGCCGTGGCAGCCACACCCGGGTGAGGGATGAGCCTGTCCAGGTGCGGAGTGAAGGCCTTCAGGGGAAACTGAGCCCTTCTGCTCTCCTGTGCATGAAGGAGCTGCTGTGGGGGCTGAGTCAAAGGTGTCGGAATGGGGCTTGGCTCTGGGCTGGTGGAGCGAAGGCCAGAGCCCCAGGCTCTGCCACTGGGATCAGCTGTCTTTATGCACAACTGGGGTCCCCAGGACCACTCCCATGCTGAGTGGATGGGGTTCAGCACCCCCTGCAGCATGGCAGGACGCCGCCAGGTGCCACAGGAGGAGGCCTCACAGAGCCTGCAGGGGCCACATGCTTCCCTCCCCTACAAGGCATGCAACCCATCAGGGTTTTACTGGCGCTGGTGGGTGAGCATCTCTGCCTGCTGTACCAAAGCTTCAGACCCCCAGAAGGAGAGCAGCTGTGTGGAGCCTATGTGGTTGGTGTGAACAGTCCAGGCACAGGGCAGGTTGCCCTTCTGGGAAAGGTGGGTGCCGTGCCAGCCCAAGCTGCCACTAGGGAGGACCTGGACAGGCCTGCAGGGGCAGCACCTCAGCTACTGAGAGCCTTCCTGCATGAGCACCGGCTCTGAGCCCTGCCCAGGAGGGAGGCGGCCCAGTGTGTGCACACTGCACACCACACACACACACTGCACGAACACTACACATACCGGACACACCGCACACACCAAACACTGCACATGCCACACACATACCAGACACACTGTACGTCGCACATACACAGACACACCAAACTGTACATTGTGCACACAGATACACCAAACACTGCACACACACACCACACTGCACATACTACACACCAAACACACTGTACATTGCGCGCACACACAAAACACTGCACACACCACACAAAACACACTACGTTGCACACACACCACACTGCACACACACACACCAAACACTGTACATTGCACACACGCACACCAAACACACTGCACACACCAAACACTGCACACACCACACACACACACACACACACCAGGAAGCAGCAGGCAACCAGGGCGCACACTGATAGGACCAAGCAGCTGCTCACTCTTAGGAGTTAAAATAAAATCAAAATTTCCTTTGGCTTGAACAGTGGCCCTTCCCAGAGTAATCTTAGCTCCATGGGGCTGAAGCCAGATTGCTTTGAAGAGTGGGTCGGAATTATTTTAAAAATCACAAGTCTAGAACATGCTCTCAAAGTTTGTGAGGGCCAGGTGTGGTGACTCATGCCAGTAATCCCAGAACTTTGAGAGGCCAAGGCAAAAGGATCACCCGAAATCAGGAGTTTGAGACCAGCCTGGGCAACATAACGAGGCCCCATCGCTATTTTTTTTGTTTGTTTGAGACGGAGTCTCACTGTTGCCTGTGCTGGAGTGCAGTGGTGTGATCTTGGCTCACTGCAACCTCCGCGTCCCCAGTGCAAGCAATTCTCCTGCCTCAGCCTCCCAAGTAGCTGGGCTTATGGGTGCCTATCACCACGCCCAGCTAATTTTTTGTATTTTTAGTAGAGATGGGGTTTCGCCATTTTGGTCAGGCTGGTCTCGAACTCCTGACCTTGAGATCCGCCTCCCAAAGTGCTGGGATTACAGGCATGAGCCACTGCACCCGGTCATTCCCATCTCTATTTTATGAAAATAAATTTTAGGCCGGGTGCGGTGGCTCATGCCTGTAATCCACCACTTTGGGAAGCTGAGGCAGGCGGATCACAAGGTCAGGAGTTCGAGAGCAGCCTGACCAAAATGGTGAAACATCATCTCTACTGAAAATACAAAAATTAGCTGGACGTAGTGATGGTCACCCATAATTCCAGCTCTCGAGAGGCTGGGGCAGGAGAATTGCTTGAACCGGGGAGGTGGAGGTTGCAGTGAGCCAAGATTGCACCACTTTACTCCTGCCTGGTGGCAGAGTGAGACTCTGTCTCAAAAATAAAGTAAAAATAGATAAATTTTTAACAGTTTGAGAGGAGGTAGGGAGAAGCAATGGAAGAAGGCTGGGTGGCAGAGGGGGTTCTGACACTCGACGCACAGCTGTGGTGGGCACAGACATGAGGCTGCTGTGGGATGGGCAGGTGTGTGTCCAGAAAGCAGCTCTGCAGGGTCGCTCAGGAGGCAGGTGGAGGGGAGCTCCCGGCACACACAGCAGCGCCTGCGATAGACGCCCCGCCCTCTGTGATGAGAGAGGAGAGAGAAGGTGACAGCTGAGTGGAGAGGGGAGTGGCACATCCTGCCTCAGGCCCCTACCTGCCTCTCCTCGGGGAACCCAGGGGCTGGGACTGAGGGGAGAGGAGGCCAGTGGGCATTTTGAGAGGCCCCTCCACCCCTCTCTGCTAGGGGCTGAGGGCAGAGAAGGCCAGGTGGGCATGTTGAGGGGCTACAGAAGGGGCAAGTCTGGCCGTGTGGAGGAATAGCACGCTGACTGGAGAGACAAGACTTCTGGGCAGAGGGCGCGGGGCTTGTCCAGCTGTGGTCAGCACGTGGGGAGGTGAGAAGGCAGGAAGGATAAAAGGTTTTCCAGGGACAGTGACTGCGGAACAGGAGGCTAAGGAGGCTACAGCCATGGGCCACCAGTTCTCAGCAGTATAGAGAAGGACGTAGGGACAGGTGAGCAGACAGACTGACCGGGAACATGGAAGGATCTGGGATGGAAGAGGCAGAGCAGGGAGGCCAGGCCTCTGAGCATCGTGGAGGCAGAGCACGGCCGGCTGTGGCTAGGGAGGGGCTGCAGGCGAGCTGGGAGGGGCTGCAGGCGAGCTTGGAAGTGGTGGTGGCCTTGACTGAGCAGTGACTGTGCCATGCTGCCAGGCTCTAGGACACAGTGATGAACAGACAGGGGTGCCACTTTGATGGCACCACATGCCAGGGAGAGACGCAGCACCAGGCCAGAGGATTCCTGGGGAGGGTGAAGCTACTGAGTCACCGAAGCAGAGCAGTGAGACAGTGACTGCTTAGAGTGGAGGGAAGGTCAGGGGCCCCTCCCCTGTTCATCAGCTGGGTGCCCTGGGGAGGGTGCAGCCGCCTGCAGGAGGGCTGGTCCTGGAGCGAGGGAGGCTGAACCAGGAGCTCAGGTGTGCAATGAAGCGGGAAAAAGGCGAGAGACGTGGCTCTGTGTTCCTCGGTCACTGTAGCCCGTAGACCCATTTTTCTTCTCCACCCTTTCCGCTGGGGCCCAGCACTGTGTGTGGCACAAACTCAAGCCTCGTAAATGCAGTAGTGGATGGTGGATGGCCCTACCCACCAACAAATGGGTGAATGAAAAAACTGTGTTCTGGGCGACTGAGGCTGGGTAGCTGTGGCCACGGCCTGCCACTGACTGTGGCGTCTGACTCTTCTCTTTGGCAGTTCCGGGTGCTCTTTGCCAACCTGGTGGCTCTGTTCTGGTATGCCTACCTGGCCTCCCTGGGGAAGTGAAGACCACCAGGAGAACATCAGGTGCACTGTGGACGTGGGTCTAGGGGGTCTCACCCACCCAGCGAGAGAGCAGAACCAACCCAGTCAGGACGTCACTAAGTCAGGTGACTCAAGATGCCCTAAAATGATGGATGGAGAAATAGAAATCCCTTATTGTCAGAACCTTGTGTTTAAAACGGCAGTAGCTGACGTCAGCTGGTGCTGCCCTAAAAACTTAAAATTTAGTAGAGGCAATTTCAGTTGTTACTGTGGACCAAATTAGGGTCACAATAAACGCAAAATTATATAGGTTCTTTAATAGCGACTTTAATCTCAGAACAGTTACTGTTTGCTTTGAAAAAAATGCATAGCCATATGTATAAAAAAATTTTTTTTGTAGGCTGGGCGTGGTGGCTCACGCCTGTAATCCTGGCACTTTGGGAGGCCGACGTGGGTGGATCACCTGAGGTCATGAGTTCAAGACCAGCCTGGCCATCATGGTGAAACCCCATCTTTAAAAAAAAAAAAATTTTTTTTTCTTTGTATGTGGTAAAGTACATAAAACACGCAGTTTACCATGTAGCTGGTTATGGTGGCTCATGTTTATAATCCCAGTACTTTAGAAAGTCAAAGCAGGAGGATTGCTTGAGGCCAGGAATTTGAGACCAGCCTGGGCAACACAGTGAGACCTCATTTCTACAAGAAAAAAAAAAAACACATCTCTGTGAATACACACACACACACACACACACACACACACACACTCCTGGGCCACCTTCCTGCCACAGCCTCCCAAGTAGCTGGGATTATAAGTGCCTTCCACCACACCCACTTACACCCAGCCAATTGTTTATTTTCTATAGAGATGAGATCTTTCTGTGTTGCCCAGGCTGGTATTTGCACTGCTGGGATTACAGGTGGGAGCAACTGCACTGGCCTCTTTCCTTTTAAAAAGAGGCTGAATTCGGCTGGGTGCGGTGGCTCACGCCTGTAATCCCAGCACTTCGGGAGGCTGAGGCAGGCAGATCACAAGGTCAGGAGATCGAGACCATCCTGGCCAACATGGTGAAACCCCGTCTCTACTCAAAATACAAAAAAAATTAGCTGGGCGTGGTGGCACGCGCCTGTAGTCCCAGCTACTCAGGAGGCTGAGGCATGAGAATCGCTTGAACCCAGGAGGCGGAGGTTGCAGTGAGCCGAGATGGCACCACTGCACTCCAGCCTGGGTGACAGTGCTAGACTCCATCTCCAAAAAACAAAGGCTGAATTGAAAAAAAAAAAAGGCTGAATTTTGACTGTCCTAAGATTCTTTAAAAATAAAAATAAAAATAAGCCGGGCTCGGTGGCTCACGCCTATAATCCCAGCACTTTGGGAGGCCAAAGCCGGTGAGTTCAAGATATTGAGACCGACCTGGCCAACACAGTGAATCCTCATCTCTATTAAAAATGCAAAAATTAGCCAGGTGTGGTGATGTGCACCTGTAGTCCCAGCTGTCCAGGAGGCTGAGGCAGGAGAATCGCTTGAATCCGGAGGCAGAGGTTGCAGTAAGCCAAGATTCTGCCACTGCACTCTGCCTGGGTGACAGAGCAAGGCTCCATCTCTAAATAAATAAATAAATAAAATAAAAATAGGGCCAGGCACGGTGGCTCACACCTATAATCCTAGCACTTTGGAAGGCCAAGGCAGGAGAATCACAAGGTCAGGAGTTCGAGACCAGCCTGGCCAATATGGTGAAACCCTGTCTCTACTAAGAATACAAAAAATTAGCTGGGTACGGTGGCGCACGCCTGTAATCCCAGCTACTCAGGAGGGTGAGGCAGGAGAATGACTTGAACCTGGGAGGCAGAGGTTGCGGTGAGCCGAGACCACGTCACTGCACTCCAGCCTGGGCTACAGAGCGAGACTCCATCTAACACATTTTAATGTAAGAACTGCAAAGGCTGAATATTCCCATGTGCGTGGACTGCATTTTGCGTGTCCGTTCATCCGTCAGTGGCTAGACGGTTTCTGGCTCGCAGCTGCCGTGAAGGATGCGGCGGTGAAAGTGGCAGCACTAGTACCTGCTCCTGTCTGCTTGCCTGTGGGTTTTCAAAGAACTGCTCTTCAGTTCAGAATATTGACGGTGGGATTGTTCCCCAAGGAAGTTTAGGGCAGTTGCAAAAGTAACAGATGCTCCTGCAGTTGGTGCAGGGGACAATTCTGACTGTCCCTCTAAGTTGCCATTTCCCAGTGAGTCCCACCCCGCCACATGACAGAGGATTAAGGATCTGGAGCTCAGAGCAGATTCTAGATTAGACCCCAGAGGTCACAGCACTGACGTCGCTGAGGGTTGCTTTGTGCCGGAACTCTTCTGAGCGCTTCGAGGACTGGCATGATTCGACCCTGCAGCAGCCCTGAGGGAGGTGTCACTGCTTTCTCTGCTCCACATACGGGGAGTGCAAGACCCCTCAGCTGGAGGAGACGAGTCCTGATTCAGAGGCAGGCAGCCAGGTCCAGAGCCGCTGTCTTCACCACCATGGCCTCACGGTGTCACGGCAAGTCAAGAGAATTCGCTGGGGAAGATTTTGCATCATGTATGTGGCTTACCACAGCCTGCATCTGGTCAGTTCACTGCACACCTTCACCCAGTGCTGTCAGGCACACACACAGAGAGCATTACACACCCGCACAGTCAGTTCACTACACACCTTCACCCAGTGCTGTCAGGCACACACACGGGAGAGCATTACACACCTGCACAGTTCACTACACACCTTCACCCAGTGCTGTCAGGCACACACACGGAGAGCATTACACACCTGCACAGTCAGTTCACTGCACACCTTCACCCAGTGCTGTCAGGCATACACACGGGAGAGCAGAGACCAGGAGTTTTAAGTCTGAACCACTTGAACAGTCATCAGAAAATGTATTGTGAGTGGTTAAATGAGCTGGAAACAGTTCAAGGAAGAAAAGCACTTCTTCCTATATGCAGGTCTGAGTGCCTTGAACAAATCATATTTTATTTGAACAAAATGAATCCATCAGAAAGCTTCCAAAATTGCACCGCGTTCCAGAGTACCAGAATTCATCATGTGTCACCCTAGGGTTTCCCTCCAAGCACGCCATCCTTTGACCCTTTTTTTTTTTTTAAATGAGATGGAAATTGAGAGACTTCAAGGAATAAAAACGGTCTCTTGAGTTGGAGGAAAGGGTTTCTTACTAAAAAATGTAGTGCCTGCAACATCCAGCTATGGCTCATACAGCATTCCTCTCTGCCTAGAAGAGAGGCTGTGCATAAAGACGGTCCAGAGCCCCAAGTCCAACTCTGCTCAGCCACAAGTGGAGGAGCCAGCTGCTTCCGCCAGAGCCCCTGGCACAGCAGAGGCCCTGCCCCAAGTGTGTGGGAAAGTGGGTGTGGCAGGGTGACCTCTTCATCTGATTTCCTCAGGGCAGAAAATGAACACCAGCTGTGAAATGACAAGTCTCGCCTCGCCTGGGAGACTGAGGATCAGGAGTCTTAGAGAAACACCAGGCAAGTCTCCGTGACTTCTAAGCAGGGGGCCAGGGCAGGGGATTCACATTCTTCCCTGTCGTTGCGTTGAAATGGGCAGGGCAGTGGGCATCTCTTGCTCTCTAGCACAACAGTGGTCAGTCTGTGACCCTCTTTGGTTTCTGGGGGATGGGAATGGGAGCTGTGCCGTCACCCAGCATATTCATTCCACTGTACAGTGCTCTCATAAATTACCACACACTCAGCAGCCTGAAACAACACAGGCTTAGTATCAAGGTTCTGGTGGTCAGAAGTCCAAAAAGGGTTTCATGAAGCTCAAATCAGGGCAGCTGGGCACAGTGGCTCACACCTGCACCTGCAGCCCCAGCACTTTGGGAGGCTGAGGCAGGAAGATCACCTGAGTGTGAGACCAGCCTGGATAACATAAGGAGACCACATTTCTTTCTTTTTTTATTTTTTGGAGATCTGTGTGCCTCTATTAGCAGAGCCACTACTTGAGGGGATGAAGCGGGAGGAGTGGGTGGCCCAGTGTCAGGCCGGCCGTGCCTCCGGGCTCGTAGGTGACGGGAGAGCTCGCCCGGGTGCCTCTGGGCTTGTAGGTGACAGAGAGCTCGCCTGGGTAGTGGCCGATCGTCTCCGGCTGGAGCTCCAGCTGGGTGAAGGTCTTGCTGTCGTAGACGCCCACCACCTAAGGCCGGGTGACAATGTCCCCCAGGTACATCTTCACTTCCGGCCTCTCCATGGGCGGTGCCTCCTTGGCCTGGCACAGGCACTTCTGCAGTAAGTGTGGCTTTCCCCGCAGGCCCAGGTTCAGCCGCTGTCGCTGGCGCACCCTGTACAGCGGCATCAGCTGCTCGTGGGGCGTGTCCGGCAGGTGGACTTGTGGAGGGTCTGCTGCGTCTGCTCTACGTCTGCCATTTTGCCGGATCCTCAGAAAGCAGTAGACCCTATTTCTACCAAAAATTGTAAAAGAACTAGCTGGATGTGGTGGCATGCACCTGTGGTCCCAGCTACTCAGAGGCTGAGGCAGGAGGCTCACTGGAATTCAGGAGATGGATGGAGGCAGCAGTGAGCTGTGACTGTGTCGCTGCACTCCAGTCTGGGTGACAGAGCAAGGCCCTGTCTATTTGGGGGAAAAAAAAAAAGGCTGGGCTTAGTGGTTCACGCCTGTAATCCCAGCACTTTGGGAGGCCGAGGTGGGGAGGTCACTTGAGGTCAGAAGTTGGGAATACAATATGGTGAAACCCCATCTCTACTAAAAAATACAAAAAAAATTTAGCCAGCAGTGGTGGCAGGTGCCTGTAATCCCAGCTACTGGGGAGGCTGAGGCGGGAGAATCACTTGAACCCGGGAGGCAGAGGTTGCGGTGAGTTGAGGTCACACCACTGCACTCCACTAGGTGACAGCAAGATTCCGTCTCAAGAAAAAATTTTAAAAACCAGGAGATGGCAACGTGGTGTTCCTGCAGGAGGCTTCAGGGGAAAACCCATGTCCTTCCTTTTTGGCTTTTAGAGGTTGGGCATGCCTTGGCTCATGGCCCGGTATCACCCCGGCCTCCACTTCCACGCCCTCATCTCCTCCCTCGGGACCTCCTCCCTCCCTAAGGCCTGCTGCCACTGCTGGGGGACCACCCCCGGCCCTAGTGTCTCTGGGGGATTCTCACAAACGTCTTCCATAACTTGTAGAAAAAGCAGCCGACAAAAGGGCACGGTTGCTCACTCGCCTGTTACCTAGCATGCAGCAGCCTCCACTGGGGCTTTGTGCCAGCCGGCAGCCGCGTGGGAAGCGTGTTCTGGGCCTGTTGCCGTGGCTGTTCCTGCAGTCAGCCTGCGCGGGCATCTGCAGAGCAGCCGCTCTTGCGTGTATGTGTCCCAGCACCCAGGCAGTGTCTAAGAAACGGGGCAGGAGTGGCTGTTTGGTGAGTGAGGAAGGCAGCATCTTCTGTGGTGGGCGGTCAGCGGCTCAGAGTGGCTGGGGCCCAGTGTGTGTTGGGTGTGGCCGCCCCCGGCAGCACTGAGCCTTCCCTGGCACACACAGGTGCCCCTGCAGGAACCCGAGCAGTCACCTCTCTGCCTCTCCCTCAAGAGCAAGTGCTGTCCGAAGGCCAGAGCCACTGCGCATCCCCAAAGCATAGGCGCTCGTGTGTGAGTTGGATTGAAGCTACCTGAGGGAGGGTCAGGGCAGAATTTATATACAAAAGCCCAAGTTTGTAAACCTTTGTTCAAATCACAATTATTTAAAACTGTTTCCTAAATTTCAGTAACGTGTACATGTTCTACATCATTTTTCACTTACAGTTTTAAAGACCTATACTTTTTTCCCCACACGGATTGGGGTGCAAATGATGAAATCACAGCTCAACACAGCCTCTGCCTCCCATGTGGGGCATGGTGGCTCGTGCCTGTAATCCCAGCATTTTGGGAGGTTGAGACGGAAGGATCATTTGAGCCTAGGATTTCAACACCAGCCTGGGCAGCAGAGCAAGACCTCATCTCTACAAAAACGTAAGATACTAACTGGACATGGTGAGGTGCACCTGTAGTCCCAGCTATTCAGGTGACTGAGGGAGGATCCCTTGGGCGCAGGAATTCAAGGCTGTGGTGAGCTGTGATTGCACCGCTGCGCTCCAGCTTGGGTGACAGAGTGAGACCCTATTTCAAAAAAAAAAAGGATTATCTCTATCATTAGGATTCCGAAATTTCAGGATAATGTGCCTCCACATGGTGGAGTGCAGTGGCATGATCTCAGCTCACTGCAACTTCTACCTGCCGGGTTCAAGTGATTCTCCTGCCTCAGCCTCCCAAGTAGCTGAGACTTCAGGTGCTCACCACCATGCCAGGCTAATTTCTGTGGTTTTTTTTTTTAGAAGAGAGAGGGTTTCACTATGTTGGCCAGCCTGGTCTTGAACTGACCTCAGGTGATCTGCCCTTCTTGGCCTTTCAAAGTGCTGGAATTACAGGTGAGCCACTGTGCCCAGACTTTTTTTTTTTTTTTTTTTAAAGACTGTCTCACTCTAACACCCAGGCTGGAGTACAGTGGTGCTATCTTGGCTCACTGCAACATGCTCCTGCAGTTGGTGCAGGGGACAATTCTGACTGTCCCTCTGAGTTGCCATTTCCCAGTGAGTCCCACCCCGCCACATGACAGAGGATTAAGGATCTGGAGCTCAGAGACCAAAATGAATAAATAAGCAAAAACCTAACTCAGAAAATAGAAACAGCATATGAGATACAAGAAGACTTCCAAACTTATGTAACTAAGTTTTTTTTTTGAGACGGAGTTTCGCTCTTGTTACCCAGGCTGGAGTGCAATGGCCCAATCTCAGCTCACTGCAACCTCCGCCTCCTGGGTTCAGGCAATTCTCCTGCCTCAGCCTCCTGAGTAGCTGGGATTACAGGCACGTGCCACTATGCCCAGCTAATTTTTTGTATTTTTAGTAGAGACAGGGTTTCACCATGTGGACCAGGATGGTCTCAATCTCCTGATCTCGTGAACCACACACCTTGGCCTCCCAAAGTGCTGGGATTACAGGTGTGAGCCACCGTGCCCGGCCTGGTTCATTCGTTTTTAAAAATCAGTGCCACTAAGACAATCTTTGGAAGCTTAGTGTGGGCTGCACTTAACAAATCGTGCCTTCACTGTGGGCCAATCAAGCAGGGACCCAGTTTTGTTGAGGATCACACATCATCAAAAAGTGGGGTGTGAGGCTGGGTGCAGTGACTCATGCCTGTAAGCCCGGCACTTTGGGAGGCCAAGGTCGGAGGATCACTTGAGCCCAGGAGTTCGAGGTCTCTTTTTTTTCTGGGCAACACAGACCCTGTCTCTACAGAAAATACAGAAATTAGCCGGGCGCGGTGGCTCAAGCCTGTAATCACAGCACTTTGGGAGGCCGAGGCGGGTGGATCACGAGGTCGAGAGATGGAGACCATCCTGGTCAACATGGTGAAACCCCGTCTCTACTAAAAATACAAAAAATTAGCTGGGCATGGTGGCGCGTGCCTGTAATCCCAGCTACTCAGGAGGCTGAGGCAGGAGAATTGCCTGAACCCAGGAGGCGGAGGTTGCGGTGAGCCGAGATCGCGCCATTGCACTCCAGCCTGGGTAACAAGAGCTAGTTCCAGTTAATCCAGAGGCTGAGGCAGGGTAATCACTTGAGCCCAGGAACTGGAGGCTGCAGTGAGCTGTGATTGCACCATTGCACTCCAGCCTGGAGAGTGACACCCTGCTTCTGAAAATACATTTTGTAAAAAATTGTAACTTTTTGAGACAGTCTCGCTCTGTTGCCCAGGTTGGAGTGCAGTGGCACGATCTCGGCTCACTGCAGCCTCTACCTCCTGGTTTCAAGCGATTCTTCTGCCTCAGCCTACCAAGTAGCTGGGATTACAGGCACCTGCCACCATGCCCGGCTAATTTTATACCAACTCAGTCTTCAAACTACTCCAAGAGATTTTCATTTTTTGAGACAGGGTCTTACACTGTTGCCCCAGCTAGAGTGCAGTGGTGTGATCATGGCTCACCAGCTTTCGCCTTCTGGGCTGAGGTGATCCTCCAGCCTCAGCCTCCAGAGCAGCTGGGACTAGAAGTGCCCGCCACCATGACCAGCTAATTTTTTTCTTTCTGAGACAGTATCGCTTTGTTGCCCAGACTGGCGTGCAGTGGCACAATCTCAGCTCACTGCAACCTCCACCTCACAGGTTCAAGCGATTCTCCTGCCTCAGCCTCCTGTGTATCTAGTGTTACAGGCTATGGTCACCACGCCTGGCTAATTTGTATTTTTAGTAGAAACCGGGTTTCGCCATGTTGGCCAGGCTAGTCTCAAACTTCTGACCTCAGGTGATCCACCTGCCTCAGCCTCCCAAAGTATAGAGATTACAAAGTGTAGGGATTACATTCCTGAGCCACCATGTCCGGCCCTAAGAGATTTTTTCTTTCTTTTTTTTTTCTGAGATGGAGTCTTGCTCTGTCACCCAGGCTGGAGTGCAGTAGCGCGATCTCGGTTCACTGCAGCTTCCTCCTCCCAGTTTAAGCGATTCTCCGCCTCAGCCTCCCGGCACGCGCCACCTCGCCTGGATAATTTTTTGTATTTTTAGTAGAGACGGGGTTTCACCATGTTGGCCAGGCTGCTCTTGAACTCGTAACCTTGTGATCCACCTGCCTCGGCCTCCCAAAGTGCTGGGATTACAGGCGTGAGCCACCGCGCCCAGCGTGATTTTTTAAAAAGCTTAAATGGCATCGGGTCATTTCCCAACTTTAACACGTGCAGAGACGGTCCGGCCATCCCGCTTGGGGTGCGGACACAAGCGAGGGAGTCGCAGACAGATGTGCAGCCATTGCGGCGCTGTTCACAACCGCCAGCGGGGGCGACAAGGCGGGCGCGGTCCTCGGCGGGCTCGGTCCCCGCAGGCAGCGCCGACCCCCCGGGAAGGAAGCCGGGCTCGAACCCGGTCTCTCCGACGACGCTGCCGAGCGAAGCGCCGGCCGCAGAGGGACAGTCCCGCGGGCGGGGGCGGCGCCGCGCCGGGACACGCGGCAGAACCCGAGCGTTTCGCGCCCCGGAGCCGCAGGCGCAGGCGCCGCCGACCAAAACCCGTGCTTCGTTTCCGCCGCCTGCGCGGACTCCCAGCCCCTGAATCCGGGCGCCGTGCTCCTCCCCGGCACCCCGCCTCCGGCCTGGGCAGGCACTTCCGGGGCGGAACCTTCTGGAAAGCCCCGCACCGCCCTCCCGGTCCGCACCTGCGCCCCGAACGCCCGCGAGCGCAGGTGACCCGCCCGGGGCGCGGCTCAGCGGACACGCCCCTTTCCCGGAAGGCGGCCGCGCCCCGGGAGGAGGGACTTCCGCCCGCGCCGGCCGGAAGCGGTCGCTCGGGGCAGCGTGTCCCTCGCGCCGCGCCGTCGGGGCCGTGCGCCTGCGCGGGAGCTGGCAGCATGGCGTTCCGGCAGGCGCTGCAGCTGGCGGCGTGCGGGCTGGCCGGGGGCTCGGCCGCCGTGCTCTTCTCGGCCGTGGCGGTGGGGAAGCCGCGTGCGGGCGGGGACGCGGAGCCGCGTGCGGCCGAGCCCCCGGCCTGGGCGGGGGGCGCGCGGCCCAGCCCCGGCGTCTGGGACCCCAACTGGGACAGGTGCGTGCTGGGCTGCTCGGGGCCGGGCCGGGGTGGGGTTCGCGGCTGGCGTCACCGTTCGGATCAGGTCGGTCGGGCCGGGGATGGGGTTGCGGTCGGGGTCGGGATCCGGCCGAGGCTGGGGCCGCCATGGGGGCGCTCTGCGCCGAGGGCTCTGGGGGCGGCGGGCCCTCCCGGCCGGCTGTGGGGGCGGCTGCGCCGCGTCCTCCCGCGTCTCCTCCCGCGAGTCCACCCGGGGTGCCGGCGCCGGAGCGAGGCTGCGTGGAAGCCCGGCCGCCTCCAGGCTCCTTTCCGGGGGCGCGCCCTGGAGCCTCGTGTGGTTACTGCGCGTTTGGAACGTGGCTCGTGGGATTCCTGAAGCAAGGCTTAGTGAATTTCACAACCACAGCAAGGCCGGTGCGCGGGTGGGGAGCTGACGCCTGGAATCCCAGCTTTTGGGAGGCCGAGGCCGGAGGATCGTGAACCCAGGAATTTGAAACCAGCCGGGGCCACATAGTGAGATCCCGTCTCTACAAAACAGCCGCGCGAGGTGGCACGCGCCTCGGGAGGCTGAGGTGGGAGGTCCCCCGAGTCCGGGAGTCCCAGGCTGCAGCGTGTGAGCCGAGATCCCGCCACTCCGCTCCAGCCTCAGCCGCAGAGCCTGTCTCAGAGAAAGAAAAACAAAAGTAGTGCGGGTTTTTAACGTTGGTTACATGTTGAAATGATAGTATTTTTAGCATACTGAGTTAAAAGTGATGAAAGTTCACCTGTTTACTTTGCTAATGTTGCTGTTGGAAGATTTATAATTTCACATGTTGCTGGCGTTGTTTCTGTTGGCCAGGACTGCTCTAGAGGCAGGGATGGTTTGTCCAGCGCTAACTCATTATACTTCCTACTTTGAGAGGGGGCACAGAATTAAACTACAATGGTTGTAGTTAGGTGCTTCAAAGATTTTTTCTTTTGCTAACCTTTAGTTAGTTTTTTTTTTTTTCTTGTTTTTTTTTTTTTTTTTTTTTTTTTTTTGGGACGGAGTTTCACTCTTGTTACCCAGGCTGGAGTGCAATGGCGCAATCTCAGCTCACCGCAACCTCCGCCTCCTGGGCTGAAGCAATTCTCCTGCCTCAGCCTCCTGAGTAGCTGGGATTACAGGCACGCGCCACCACGCCCAGTTAGTTTTTTGTATTTTTAGTAGAGACGGGGTTTCACCATGTTGACCAGGATGGTCTCCATCTGTTGACCTGGTGATCCACCCGCCTCGGCCTCCCAAAGTGCTGGGATTACAGGCTTGAGCCACCGCGCCCGGCCAACCTTTAGTTTTTTTAAAGTAAACTTTAGTTTTGTATTTACAGAAAAGTTGCAAAGATAATAGACTCTCTCTCTATTTGCGTATGTTTTTTTTTTTCTTTTTTTTTTTTCTAAGAGACAGGGTTTCACCACGTTGGCCAGACTGGTCTTGAACTCCTGCCCTCAGGTGATCCACCTGTCTCAGCCTCCCAAGTGCTGGGATTACAGGCGTGAGCCACAGCGCCCGGCCTCTCCCTCTGTGTTTCATAACTAGTTTCTTCTATTATTAGCGTCTTACACTAAGTATGGTATTGTGTAGCAGGAGCGGCCGCAGGAAACGGATCTCTGGGACACCAAACACAGGAGAAAGGAGTTTATTCGGCAGGGAGCCAGGTGGCATTGTTGCCTAACAGCCAAGCTCCCTTAACAAACGAAGGGTCGGTCTTTATATGGGCTTATACTTTAGATGTCACACAGGGGAAGAACCTTAGGTTTATAACTTAACATATGAAAAGGGCTTCGATTTACAGTCTTAGGAATGAAAAGGGGAAGTTTACAGTTTCAGGAATGAAAAAGGGAAGTTGATCTAAGATGGCTGGGTCTCCCTTTTCACCACCCCCTTTGAGACCCTCATCACTTTATAATATTAGTGAGAGGTCTCACTTTCATTCTCACTTTCCAGATTTTCTGAAGACAGTGACTGGTAATGTTTCATATAATAGACTTGTGATGTCATTTTTTGGCTAACTACAGTAGTGATGAAGCCCCCAGTCATCTGAAGGAACAGGGGAGTAGACAAGGGAGCAGTAAACAAACACCTGTTATCATTAGAACACTTATGATGAGGGTTTTGAATCCTCCCGAGGATGAGGACCAACCTCCAAATAAGGACTCAGGGTCAAATCCGTGCCAAATCTGTACAGGCACGTGTGCCAGTTTGGTCATGTGTCAATATCCCGCACTGCTTGCCCCTGGTCATCTGTGTGCAGACGGCAGTTAGTTAGACTGAATTTTCTCAAGACTCTTCCTTTGACTGCTAGCAAATAATCTAGGGCCAGTTGGTTCTGATAGATTGTGTTTCTCATTTGAGTTTCTTGTCGGGCCAAGAGGGACAGAGCTTTGCCCGTTTCATTAGTATTTCCAAAACAGCCTGCAACCGGATGATCTGGTTGAGCATGTAAATAGGGGTCTGGTATCCCCATGAGCCATCCTCAGCCCATGTGGCCGGCCCATAGTACTCAATAATTCTCTCCGGTGGCCACTCATCATCTGTCCAATTCCTTAGTTTTAGGTCTCTCTTCTCCCTAGTGGAGTGAACTGAATGCCCTAACAGCTCACCTGTCTTAACAGATAATAGGAAGAAAGAGGGCTTAATGATGCCTATGACACAGCCACCTGTCCATCTCATGGATTACACACCTTATAATGAGTTCCATTGTATAAACAGGTTCTCTTCTGTGTCCCCGTGCATTTATAAGAACTGCAGGGCAAAAGAATGGCAGTAACTTTTACGTCCTACCTGGTGTACACACTGAGGGCATTCTTCAAAATTAGTTAATGTTCCTACTGTACAAGTCCCACGATGACTCTCCCCACGCTTCGGCCGTGCGTGGAGCAGCCAGCTTCCGGGATGTGGCTGGAGCAAGGCTTGTTGTCCTTCTTAAGGTGATTCTGCAGTCCTGGCCTTGCTCTAAGTCTCAGCTGTTGCTTGTTTGACACGGCTGTGGTGGATGCAGGCTGGGATTCCCTCTACCTTCATGGCTGCGGGGTTGGTCAGGATCAGGTCTGAGGTCCCTTCCATTGTGGCTTTAGAGGGGCTGTGCTCCCGTCCTTTATCCACACGTGATTACCTAGTGAGAAAGGATGAACCGGGGAGAATAGGCTTACAGGACATCTGTCATTTACGCAGATTGAAATATCCTGGACAATTTTCCCTAGAGCTCGTAACTGACATCCTAACTCAATCTGCCCCCAACTCCCGAGGAGTTCCCAGGAGTGCCTGGAGTAGGGGAGGGGGCCTATGATACAAGATTTCATAGGGGGAATATCCTGTTTTTCCTAAAGGGGGTGCCTCTAATTTTGAATAACACCAAGGGAAGTGCCTGCACCCACTGTAATCTTGTTTCCTGACAAGCTGTTTTTGATGTCCACTTTTCCGAACTCTGAGGTCGGTAGGCAGTGTGCAGTTTCCAGGTGATGTCCAAGGCCGTTGCTGTTTTCGGGACTAAATCTGCCACAAATGCTGGTCCGCTGTCTGCTCCGATGTGCAGTGGCAGTCCAAACCTAGGGATAAGATCTCGAAGCAGCACCCGGGTTACTTCATGGGCCCTTTGAGTCCCATCCGGAGTATGTGCCCACCAGGACCAACAAATACTTATGCCCCCCACACGAGGACATTTCAATAAAGTCTGCCTGGAGATCTTCAAGCGGAGCTGCTCCATAAGCTTGAATTCCAGGAGGAATAGTTGGGCCCTGCCTCACGTTGTGTTGCCGACATGTCATGCATCGCTGTGCCACAGTTTTGGTCAAGGCTGCTAAGTGTGAGATGTAAAATTACCGGCACAGCATCTTTTCAAGTGATTCTTGACCTGAATGAGTGGTCTCGTGTGCGGCTTGTACAGCTGCGGCCCCCAGCTGTGGAGCTGCTGTTCTTCCATCTGGCCGTTGGATCCATCCTTCTTTGATCAGTTGCCCGCTTCTGTCTGGAGAAAGTCTCTTTCCTCCTTAGAGTAAGTAGGTATTAGATCGGGGATCTGGGGAATCAGCGGGGCTGTGACTGCTGTTCGGTAGGGGGCAGATGCTGCCTCAGCAGCTCAGAAATTTCCCAGGGCCACGGCGGTGTGGGCCCGCTGGTGTCCTTGGCAGTGCACGACCACCACCCTCCAGGGCTTCCAGACCGCGTCTAGCAGCTGCAGAATTTCATGCTGATACTTTATTTCTTTTCCTGCTGAAGTTAACAGGCCTCGCTTTTTGAACAGTGCTCCAGGTACTTGGAGAGTCGGGAAGGCATAAACGTTTACCACCTTATCTTTAGTCAGCTCTAGGGCTTGAGTTAAATGATGAGTGCAGCCTTCTGAGCTGAGGTGCCCTGAGGCAGGGATTTGGCCTTGCTTACAGTGTCCAGAGTTACCACGGTGTAGCCTGCACATCTGTCCCCTCGTGGATTGACAAAGCTGCTCCCGTCCAGTCTGCTACTGTCCATGGCTGATCCCAAGGATCAGGCCTGGTGGAATAGACTGTGGTCAGGACTCGACACAGTTGTGTTCAACAGGACCCTCTGACACTGGGAGCAAAGTGGCGGGGTTTAAGGTGTTGCAGACTTCAATGGTGATGCGGGGATTTTCACATAGCAGGCCTTGGTATTTGATCAGCCTAACATTTGATAAACAGCGGTGCCCTCTGGTATTCATTAGAGTCACTACTGTGTGAGGCGCCTTGATATTCAGGTTCTGTCCCAGAGTTAGCTTATCTGCTTCTTGTGCCAGCAGAGCAGGTGCTGCCAGGGCCCTTAAGCATGGGGGCCATCCTTTGCAAACTCCATCCAGCTGCTTGGAGAGGTAAGCTACAGGCCTTGGCCAGGGTCCTGCTATTTGAACTAGGACCCCAGCCGCCACTTTTTCTCGTTCTGCCCCATATAATGCGAAGGGCTTTGTGAAATCAGGCAACCCCAAAGCTGGAGCTGACATTAGTTTTGTTTCCAGTTCCCGATAGGCCTGATGCTGCTGGGATCCCCATTC